CCGTGGAGGCATGGCTAAACTTGCATTTATCACCTCTCGTGCACTTCCCTTGGGCAAAGAAAGAACACGGTGCTTTCTCTCCTTTACCGCCTTTGGGGGAACTTGGCCTGCCGCGGGTCGCGGAGCGTCCTCGCGGCTCCTTGCGGTGCGCGTAAGGGCAGTTTGCCCCCCTCGTGCACGAGCCCTTCTGGAAGTCAAAACAGTACTTCTCCTCGGTGTCCTTCGGCTTAGGTGCGCTCTTTTTCTTGGGGTCCCTCTTTTCAGGAGCGGCAGCACCAGCCTTGGGCGTCGGGGCTTTACTGGCATTGACCTTGGACACGCGCTCTCGGTTCTCGCGAAGCCTATCCCTCTCGATTAGATCCCTCATGCAACGCATTAGGAAATCGTACGATTTATTGGGATCATCGTCACGGCAACGATCATATGTGTCGATGTCGTACCGCAACAGATGGCAGCTTCTCACTTGGCGAAGCAAGATGTCTTTCAACACCTTTTCTTCCGGCGGCTTTTTCATGCCGGCGATCACGGAATCCCAAGCGTTCAGGAAACGCTTGAGATCGATGATTCCTTCGCCGTGTCGCGAGACACGCAACAGGTCCTCCAAGGAGTAGAGGTTTCCGGCTTCTTCACTGGTCTTGAAATATTGGTCAAACATAAACAAGACCTGCCTTCCTCTCATGGCCTTTCCCTCCTTGGCACATTCTTCCTTTGCTGTTAGGATTCGCTGAGCCAGATCGCCTTTCGCTGAACGCGTGAGCGCTGCGAGAATCTTCGTGTCTAGGGTCACGAATTTTCCCGGTTCGCCGAGCTCCTCCAACAGCTTCTTCTTGTCCTCGCGATCAGACCAGACTTCCATGATCCAAGGCCAAGCCTCGTCTGGACGGTCAGATGCGGCGCGGACATCCTCACGAACCGATGTTTTCCATTCACGGTACGTTTCAGGAGTTGGCATCTCCTTGAATCGCAACGTCTCGCTTTCGCGGGTTCTGGGCTTTTCATCGTTCGTGTGGCCTTTTACTAACTTCATCAACATTTTGGCGAATGCTTCTTGGCCGAGGTTAGGCCCAAGGCCATCACCTTCGTCTTCATCACCATCGCCATCGCCATCATCATCAGGTGGCGGACCGCCGGGAGGCTTACCACCCTGCTTGCGGTCAGTTGACATTGGCCCCTGAGAGAATTGCAGGGGTGGGACCGGTGCACTTGTTTTCACCGGGGATCGGCTGCTACCTGATGGCTTTTCAGCTGGTCCTTGCGGATCGCGAGCATCTGCGGGCAGTGCTTCGCATTCGGCAGTTGGAATCACGCTAGGGGTATATTCATCCCCGTAACCGTCATAGGTAACAAGCGACCTCAACTTTTCCTTTGCATATTGAAACGGATGGGTCAACGGGTCCAACATTGACCTTTGGGACCGAGCTGACTTCATGTCGTCGGTCATCAACTCTGGTGAATCCTCTCGGGTATCACCTACCCCTTTGGGCTTCGATCCATCCTCGCGGAGGTCGTGTTGCTTCTGATACTTCTTCAGCTCATCAAGCTCGTCCTGCAGAAGCCCGTTTTGGTGTGCCATCATGTCAACCGTTCTGGCGTGTGTAGCCTCGACACGGGCTGTGTCATCGGCATGCTTGGCAGCTTGCTCATGGAGGAGCTGCTGGGCTTCAGCCAGGGTGGATTCGATGGCTTGCCTAAACTCAGTTGTTTTGCGTCCCATTTCCGCTTCATGCAATGCTTGGGCATTTTCCTCACACACTTGGCTTATCCTAGCTTCAGCGAAGTTCACTTCTTGCATGAACTCATCGCTCACTCGCTGTTCGTATTCACGAATCCTATGCGACTGGGCTTGCACACATTCAGCGTAGTGTGCATGCAGCTGATTCTGTGCGGCACGGAGCTCCTCACGGTTTTCCGCTTGCAAATGCGTTACAGCTGCTTGATGCAGGGCTTCGGCTTCAGACCTAATGGCTGCATCATTCCCAAAAGCAAAGATTGCGGTATTGTACAGTTGAAGGGAATTCATCAGGGTGCGGTTGTATTGCGCATTAGCGCTTGATGCGAACATTCGCACACCGCCGCCGGTGGCGTTGCCGGAGCTAGCTCCGGCAGCATCCACAGGCATGCTGGATCCATCAACTGGCACAAGGGAACCGTCCATTGCTTAGAGCTAGGGGCCTACGGCTGATAACCTATAGATTCAAGGGTTACCGGTTTGGGGCCCAAAAGGAAACAACAAACCGTCCAAGTGCGCTGCTCGCACATTTTCACGCTTGAACAGCCACACTGCGGATGCAACGGATGTAAAGCCCCAAACTGACCGATCAAATTCTTCAAAATCATGCGGACGATAAAATATCAGCGGCTTGGGCTTGAGTCCCGGGCCGCCTTGGCTGACCACTTCAGGCACTTTCTTTGTGGAATCATTGGTCTCAGTGTGTGAAAGCACCACTTTTTGTGAGCACGCTTCAGCTCTCGAGGATGTAACGCATCAAGGGGTTAGGGTGACATTCCAGCCCCAAGCACACACAGACACACCAGCGGATCAACTCTTCGGCCACCCTGGACCTTTTTGATTCCACAAAACCTATTGAATGCATGTCTCCGCCGAAAGGTTTCAGGCCTTTTAGTTCTAGGTGGGGTCGAAAGCAGCTTGAATAAAGAAGTCACAGCTCTATCGATCTACAATGTTGCTACCGCAAATCATCAGGAGAACATTAGCAGGATATATAGTAGCGGAATGGGGCCATTGAGCTTTCCCAAGCTAATTCCACCTACCCTTCCACCCACTAACATTGGAACCTGACTGGCGCATCCCAGAAGACAATTTCTTGTCTTAAAAAGGGACCCTCTGGTGAGTTCCCTGTTTCTGGACAGGAGGGTACATCCAGGGATCAGCAAAGAATCATGGGCCACACCATCTGCTCTTGCTTTTGATACGCTCCATACGTTGTTCTCAGTCGGCTGAACGGCGCTGGTCAGCCCTATTCCATTCCTGAACCAAAAACAAATAAAAACAAGAGAGAAGAAACGGCTCCGCCTGGCACACAAGTAACAAACATGCACATTTCCACATCGTAGAATCGTTCAATGCAAGCGTTGGGTTCGCAAATCACAATTGAAAGGCACATTTCACTCTGAAACGCAAAGTTGCATATCTCCACTCGGTTTTTACTTCCAGGTTGGTAGTGTCCGGTCGTTGCATCACCTGTCCTGGGCAGGCTCAAGGTGCCAAAATTCGCACCTTGACTTAGGTCACGCCCCAGCTTTGAGCCGTGCCCTCGAAACCGGGTTATCCCTTTTGAGCTGTAGAGGTACCCCGGATTTGCAATTCATGAGTTTCTTTTGGAGGCTTCAGCCCAAATTCAGGGACATTACCAGCCCAAATTCACAGCTCCGTTGATCTACAACGTTGCTACCCCAAACCATCACAAAAACATTACGGATCAACTATCGGACTTGGGGTAGTTCATCAACTTTGACTTTGAACTCTCCAAGTCCAACTTGAACACGTCTTCGCTCGCCCCGTGCCCACGTGCCCACGGCCTCTGCGTGTTCCTCCAGGAGTGGGACACCCTGGGCCCTGAGCCTCACCAGCTGGCAGGCGACCTCCCTGGAAGGCCAGACGCCGTGGTCGAAGGCTACCCAGGCCTGCGCTCAACGAGTCAGCGAGTGCACCCCCGGGATTCAAAGAGACTGGGTCCCAAAATGGCCAAACGGCTTTCCGTTCAGCTTTCCCGTAGGGTGAGAGGGACCGTGCGCACAAAATATCGATATTCTTAGTGTATATAAATAAATATATATATATATATATATACAACATAATGACATACGCATATAAATATAATGATGGATTAGGTCGCCCTTTTGGAGCCGTCGATCACACGGGCCGTGCGACCCAGTCGGCAGCTTGCACGCCTTGTCGAACTGCAAGTCGCGAAGGATCGCTTCGTACCACACCGTCGCCGCCTCGTGCTTGGCCACCTGAAGGCCATCCGGGGAAACGAAACGGCTGAACTTTGGCTGGAAAGGAATGGGAAAGGTTACTTCTGCACAAGGCTTCTGCATCGATATCCCCCAGCCGACGGCACATGTGAAGCCTGAAGACGAGAGTGAAGGGAACCCGCAGGCAACATGTGGCCAATGGCCACATGTGCTCTCTGGCCAGACCGCTGGTTCAGTTTGGTTCTCGAAATTGCTGTTCCAGCGGTTCCAGCAGGCTGCGAGAAGTGGAATTCCTGAAGTGGAGCCACCCCCTTTTACAAGGTATCACTTGGCATGAGTAAACATGATAAATGCCTTTCACTCAAATCGTTCGACCCCCCCAGCCTCCACAAAGGCTATGTTCGGGACCGCCATGGCGTACAGCTGCGGGGATTGCAGGTGGCCGTCGGCCGCTTCTTCGGGCTGCGTGCTGCTCTTTTTTGAGTTGGGGCTGATTTGGGATGTCCCCGTAAACGGCCGGGTGACTATGTCAAACGTGCACTCTGCAAAAAATAATCATGAAGCAACACTGTAATTATAACGAAACATGTTTCATCGCAGCAAACACCAAGTCTTCTTGTGGCATCAGCCTCATCTGCCTAGTATTCTGTCAAAGCACAACTCCCGCCGACGCGCAAAGTACCCTATCTGAGCCTCTCACTGCGTTTGTGAGGCTTCTAATACAATAGTATAACATGAGTTCTGCACTCTGCACGTCAAGGGTTGCATGTTGGTTTATCTTGATCCTGTGCACACTGACCAATGACATGCATCTCCCAAAGCCAGCGCACGAGCGCAATAAGCGCAAAAAACACTGGTCGGACGGCAGGGCACACAAATGACACATGAGTCACAACCCGCATCAACGGCAAGGCTAGCGTTCTATCTGACTAAGCCACTGGAGATATGTTGGACATGTGGGTGACCCGCTTCTCTTGTAGTCTTCTTGAATGTCGCGCGTGGTAGCCAACCACTAACTCCCGCATCAAACTGATCGAATCGGCGGCTGGATGCACATAGGCCTCCTGGCTGTTGCTTTGCCGCCGCCTGGGATAAACCAAGGCCTGAATTGCAATCCCTGTCCGTCTGGAAAGAAGTCTGCAAGTCTCCGACCGACTCGCTGCGCAATCAGCACTCTCAGGGCACCACGGGGACAGCTTCTGACGCGCCTGCAGAGTGAGCGCTGTCCCCGAAAATACGATGGCGCCAGTGTCTTCTCAATCTTGCCAGCTCGCTTGATCATGTCCAGGTCAAAGGGTCACCCCCCTCCATTTGCTTTCAAGGAGTGGGGATCTATTTGTGCTGAACGCAAGGCTGTTATTCCGAATGGATTTCTTGCTTCGCTGGGAGGAAGGAAAGCCAATTCCAAAAGAGTCCCAGAATCGCCAAAATGACTTGACCATTTTCATTGTCCCATGCTCCTGCGGAAATGTCAACAACTCACCGACACACCCCATAAGGTTGGTGCAACTCCTTATCTCATACAGCTGTCCCAAATCGCCCAAATGAAAATCTGGTTTTGATGCCCCCTTTCTCCGGTCGCTTGAACGGGACACTTTCTTTAGAAGGGAACCGCTGGGGGTTCGAACCGTCGGAACGAGGAGCGAGCTGCAACTCGTCGCCCGCTGAGCGCCTCCGAGGCTTCGGAGAGAAGGCGCTGAAGCACCAACTCGTTGTCCTGGATGGGCCACAGCCCGGACAAGGAACCGTATCTCGGTGGCGAAATCTGCTCCCCGAAAAGTGGCGAACTTTTCGTGGCTTCATGGATAACCCATGGAGAAGGCAAACAGTTAAACTCCCAACATCGAAGCAAAATGCAACACAGGTATGCTCATGCTTTCCGGCAACAAGAACACCCAAAGAATCTAATGGTCAGGCTGATGAGATGCTTGTTCAGGGAGCGCTGCCTGGTTGCCTACCGTGCCTGCCTGCCTGATAGGGACCAAATCACTCTCACAGGCCAATCCCGAACAGCCTTTTGGCAAAGGGGGCGGGCGGCAAACAGGCCAACTCATCCCCTGTCACCCAGCCAAGAAGCATTTGGATTTGATGCTCAAGTTGTCCAGCTGTCACAAATCTTGACACAGCCCATGATTCGGGCCGTGTCACGGGCAGCTTGGCCAACCAGTGTCGAAAGCTGTCAACATTGACGGATGCAACTTGCATCAGAAACCTTCCAAAACATTGGCCCAAACATTGAAAGCTGCAAGGAAAAGGCTGCGCTGCGACGAGACAAAGTGTTCGAGCCTGGAAGTATCTCTCTTTCTCGCGCTGGACCTGGCAGAGGCTCCTTTGCTTCACTTCGCAAAGCACGCAGCAAAACTAGGCTGATACTCGACGTGCCTCATGGCTTCACACGTCTTACCCACGACTGCAGTCAGCAACTCTTGCAATGCCACTGCCGAACCCAATGCCTGAAAGCCTTTGGATGGGAAATCCCCGCCCCCTTCCCGCCACTTCAAGGAAATATTTATTTTAATGCATCGGTTGTGGTCATAGGTGGCCTTTTGGAAAATAGATGGCCCTGGTAAATGGAAGAAACCCCACCTGAACCAGTGCCATCTATTTTTACTCAAACTAACCTCAAAAGGACACCTCTGGTTGTGGTTTCGAAAGGTTTGCAAGACTGCGGAAACCCGCCTTGTCGACTTCTTTCGCGTAGGCCTCCTTCTCGGACTCCGTCTTTGCCTGAGCTCATCCCCATGGGCCCGAGCTGCGTTCCCATAAAGGATCAAACACAACTCGAAAGGAGCCTGAACCGGGCTTTTATTTATTTGTTCCTTTGATGAGCTAGCTGCAACCCCCTTCTGTGCCTAAAAGTAAATAAATCAGAAAAACAAAACTTTAGTTGCAACTCCCCTTTGTGCAAAAACAACGAACGACAAAAAAAAACATATATTGAGCTTCAGCAATCTTCAACATTGTCTCCTCGGGCTGGGGCTCACCTCTTACCTTCGCGCTTTTTGGTTTTGGGAGTCATCTCCTGGAACCAAAATGGTCTTGCGAGCTGGTTCTATGCACCTCCCATCGACGTAACCGGACCCACAGGTCGAAGGGAGGTTCAAACCAACGCCTTCCCAAAGAACTCGTCACCCATGGTCCTTCTGTGTCTCTTTCGATGTGGGCGAGTGAGGCCAAGGGAATCCCACGAGGAATTCTAGGTCCTCCAGTAGAGAGGTTAAAATAAGGGTACCCTTTTTTCGGTAGTCTATTTTAGTAGGGGAACCTTCCCTCAAAAAAGGGTAAAAGGGCACCACTAGGAGGACCTAGAATTGAATTGCAATGCTAACCGGCAACAAAGTACCCGCCCCAAACTGGAGACCATGACATCAAGGCCTCAAGGCCTCCAAGCCTCAGCAAACGCCTTGAGCTATTTCGGCTCCGGCCACAAAAGGAAAATACAAATATTTGAATGCTTAACATGTGTTGGACACATTGAACACCCTGGACGTCCTCTCTTCACAGGCGCTGGCTAAGGCCTCACAGCTTTGCGCCCGCCTGTCGGGAAGAAGCAGAAGAAAAGGAAGCAGGAAACACATGTGGCACGCATGTGTGTGACTTGAGGCCTAGATGGCGCGGATGATCCAGTTTCATTCAAACGCTCGAAAAATTCACGGTCTTCTGAGAGGTCTTGGGAACGTTGGACCGAGAGTTAAAGTGGCATTTGCAGGTAAATGGGTAGCTAATACCTCGACAAAGAATGCCTTGTAGCGTGGGCATGCTGCAATCTGCCCAGAATGTTGATCGGACCGTTGTCAACCAGCTAGAAGCAGTAAAGCAAGTGGACAAAAGGCCATTTGCGCATTGTTGCATGCTGTGCAGCTGAGAAAGCATTCCACAAAGCCCCGCTGGAGGGAATGGCAGGCTCATGCCAGGTTTTCAAGTTCCCCACACCCAGAGGCACTGACGTCATCAGAAAGGTGCATGTTGCAATGCTGCATGTCCATGTGCTTCAGACTTGTCTGCACTCAACTCAGCATACGTGCTGTTCATCTCAGACTTCATAGTGGCAAACATGGACGAACAGTTCTAGCATAATGTTAACCCCAGATTAATAAACCCCCGGTTGATTAATAGGGGGGTGTCCGCGTTTAGTGGAAATTCATTACTTTTGGAGGGAACACCCCCTAATAATGGGACGGGTTTATTAATCCTGGGTCAACATTATATCATAAACAATAGCCGGGCCTCTGGCTCCAAATCTAGCTTTGGGATTGCTACGATCTAGACAAGAACACGTTGCAAACTGATCTACTACTCGGCGGTTTGCTCGAAATGGATGGCTGCTGGGCCCTCTTACGACTGCCGACACCATTGGCCCTCAAGCTTCACTAAGCAAATGCTGCTCTCGTGACAAATGGGAAAAAACTGGAGAAAGCCAGCTGGGCAATCTACATCTCGCCACTTCCAAGGTGCAGAGCGTGCGAATTTCCTTCTGGGCTGCCTTCTTTGGGCCTCTTCTTAGTTTGCATCCGTAGGTAGCGAGACAAGCATTGGTTGCGAACCCAACGCGATCTGCGCAGCAAGCTTCGGCGTTTCTCAGCAAGTTGCGGCTCGTGCAATCTGCTGATCTGCTGCCCCGGGGTGACAGAGTCGAAGCGGCCCCTGCAATCTGCGCCCAAGCCTCTAGGACAACAAAGGACTTCTCACTTTCTGAGTTGATGAGCCAAAAAAGTCCACGCCTGCTGTTTACTACTAAATTGGTCTTCCCAAAGAGTTTATAATGTCCAGGAGCTCAGGAAGTGAGACTTGCAAATCGGCCCAAGCCTGCAACAAAGGGCAAGCTATGCCACTTTTGCCTGGGAATTTGTCCAGCTTGTGCGGGCTGTTGAGGTCTCATACGCGCCACGTTTTTTACCAATCAGTTGAACGGGCATCCCGAACCTTTTGGCGAGCGTTTCTCTGAGGCAAGACTGATTCCAGCGTTTGAGTTTTCGCTCCGTGTTGCAAACGGGGGCCGCTTCGGAATCTCGATGCATCATTCGCATTCCTCTACCGTATTTTTCACCGGCGCTTTGGCCAAGGGGCCAAAGGGGCCAAAGCCTGAGAGAGAGCGTCCCATTGGATCTTGGGCGTGCCCAGGTTGCTTGATTGCTGGAACGGACTTTGCCCTTGAGCGCATCCTGAAAAGAAAAGCCGACCAAACACTGAAGAGAGATGCAGGGAAACAATGAATATCAGGCTTCATGGCTCATTCTACCCAACCGTGCCTTGCAACCAACCACCGCACCAAACACTGCACCATCGTCTGTCTCGGATTTTTTGGCCTAAGCTGTGCCCCTTCAGCTCCTGTCACGACGTCGCGGGGCAAAAAGGCCCAAGCCATCCAGCTACAGGAAGTACTCCACTGGCGGGCGGCCAATGCTGGCTTCCCCTCGCCGCGGGGCCGGATCAAACTGCACGAAGTGAGAGCCCAGCCTCTCATCGATCTCCTAAGTCCCGATTGCTCCAAAACATACCTTCAAACAGCTGGGTAAGCAGATTCTCACTTCTAGACTGACACTTCTACTAGTTGGGGTTACCTGATGGCTGGCAGAGTTGTCTTGGACAAACTGTTTGCACCCACGCTGGCAGCTGGCATTCCATCAGAACCAGAACGGCAAAAGCGCACAAATTGGCTCGAATCCCAATTTCTTCTTCACATACGAGTGTGTGTTTTGCAAGGGTACCCAGTTCAGCTTCAGCTAGAGGGAAATCAAAGAAAGCAACCACACCAATGCTTCGGCTCCTGGCACTTACTCATGCCCTCGCAAGGGACGTGTCAAGTTTTTTGGGTGCCATAAGGCTTGATTCATGCCGCCAAGTGTCCATGATGGCTGCCTGGTTACCGGACCTTCAGGGACAGATCAGGGATGATCCCCCGTAGAGGGACACAGTGCCATATGGGTCTTTGGGGAAGGTGGTGGAGTCCCTGAAGCGAAGCGAGCATGGTTTCTCAATTTTCCTCTTCAAACATTTCCCCACCAAAAGGCAACCTACCTAACATCAGGCCCCAATTGCCACAAAGTGCCTAAAGCCACCAAACGTTGACATATAATAGGACACTTTGTTTGCCGATTTCGCGCCTGTGCTGCCTGAAGCAAACGTTAGGACTTTTTGCCCATCACATTTGCCTTTTTTTGGCGGGGGGGTTGGGGTGGCAGCCGTTGGGGAGTGTGCGTTTTTTTTGGCGCTTCGCAGCGGCTCGCCTGTAGCAGTAGTTGGGTGCCGAGAAGATGGTCACCACCTGCTGCTCGTGGGTCCAGTTGTAGCCTTCCATGACCAGCTGATGGGCCCGCGCGATGAGGTTCAGCCCGTTGGCCTGGTTGAACTTCCTCGCGGCCGGCAAACGGCTCCCGGAAGCAAACGCAAACCCGGAGAAGTGCTGGCTGAAATATAGATATAATATATGTATGTACGCACAGTGAGCAGAAGACAATGAGGGAAAGAAACTTATCCAGCTGCCCCCATGAAGGATGAGGCACCGCACTAATCCTGACAGTGTGTTGAATGAGGCTCCAAGTTGATGTCGTTTTGCTGGCTGCCTCTGTTCATAAAGAAAAGCTGTAGCCCCAAACTTCAACCCACCGCCAACGACCCAAAGACAGTGGAACCGGTTGCGCCCACGAGCGCGCGCTACCAGAAGAGAACTCCAGCGAAAACGAGAAACTCGGCCATCTCGATCCTCCCAGGCAGTATTCAGGAGTTAACTATCACCACCGAGCAGCTACAACCCAGAAAGTGTCATCGAAAGCTATGCCCGTTGCCGTGCCCAGGTGACAATTGGGGAGAGTGCCCAGTCGCTTTCTTGATCCATGCGTGGTGGTGCACACCATCCATTTCTGGTGATACCAGGGTTAGCAATCCCCAAGGCTATTTATCACCCCAAATGGGGTCCCGTTGGTGTCACAGAAAGTCGCCCAAAACCATCCACAACCATGGGTGGGCTTGCTTGACCCCCAGGTAAGCCCATTCTAGCCAACCCAATTTCTTGCAACTCAACACGTTGTTGTCCCGAGGAAAGCCTCAAATGATGTAAAATGAAGCATTGGTTTCGACTAACACGGATCAGGCTTAAGTGGGCACCACATCTTCTCACTTCCTGAGTTCATGGCCAAAATGGGTCCCAAATTCGTGTTTGCCACTAAACTGGTCCATGGGGCCAGCCTTCGTGTTTGCCACTAAACTGGTCCAAACCGTCCAAACCCAAGAGTTTCCAACAGGAAGTGCGTCTCAGCCCATCCCAGCACTCATCAGCCCAGGCGCTCGGAGACGTCCTGGCCGAAGGTGTACCCCGCACCCCGGGGGCTCACGCCCCAGCCCAGGCGGTCGTCCGGGTCGCTCCACAGCAGGTCGCACATGGCGCCCTCGTGGGGCACCTCCTGGCCATGGCCTTTTGGTTAAAAATAGATGGCCCTGGTAAATGGAACAAAACCCATCTAAACCAGTGAACCCCATTTATTTTTTTACCGAACTAACCTAAAAAGGACGCCTATGCTCCTGGCGCTGTGCTGTGAGAAGCGAGCGCTCCCTCGAGCTGACGTTGTGCAACACAGAAACCGAGAAGAAAGACAAATCCCGGAGCCAAATTCTGGGACGAGGATCCATTGTTGAGTTGGAATTTGTGTGGTCCAGGTATGTACCCTCCCACCAATACGTGGAACCTGACAAAAGGTCTTGGAAGACCTTTTTTTCCCTTTTAAAGGGACCGGGTCTCTGTCAGGTTGCATGCTAATTGGTGGGAGGGTATATAGTTGCTTCTTGCTCAGGGTGGCTAAATAGGTGCTGGTTTGACTCAAGCAGCACCTGACCTTGTTGGCCAATGCCTCTCCATCACAAAACGATTGGCTTCGCAAGTCGTTGACAAGAAAAAGCCATAAGCACAAGATTCCCCATTCGACATTCACGAGCAGGAACACGTGTGCCAATGTCATTCCTTCCCAATGATTGCATGTATGTGCAATATCACTAGCCGAATCGTGCAAGGCAACGTGGGAACTGGGGTCGGACTGCCGCACTGCAACTCCAAACAACCATTGGCAACATGTACAACTCCATTATCAAAGCAGCGAAGGCCACTCACAAAAACATACCCTCCCCCAGGCAAACCAAACAAGCAACATGTGTTTGTTGGTCGCTTCCCAGCATATATCAAACCTGCCTGAACTCTGTCCAACTTCCGCACGTCATCCAGCTTCTCCTTGATTCGCGGAATGACAGCTAGGCAAAAGGCCCCAACGGACGAAGGAGTTGGCCTATACAAATGGGGCAGCTGTAGCAAACTCTGACAAACACCAGCTTTCGCGAAACGAGACGTCTGACAAGCCAACAATGGTGCACCGCACTTGTTCTTCGCATTCAATGCGCAAGAAGTTCAAACCCCAAGCTCACACGGACAGGTCTCCAAAGGACACTCATTCAACATTGGCCAGCGAAAGGATTTGCACATTGAGGCAGCCCTCAAGAGGACATCTCGTTGGCATTGGACAAAAGACCAGCTTCAGCCCAGGGGCGATGTTGGGCGAGAGGCCCCCGTGCTGCGAGAAAATCTTGTTCTCCACCAGGGCCGTCAGGGGCAAGTAGTCGAACAAGTCCTAAGCTGTGGAAGGGCAGAATGATGCTCGGGCCTCCCCGAGCAATGGGGTGGTCCGAACTCCTGTCCGGTACAAGAATATATTAGCACGGCCAGCTGATTGTGGTGGGGATGAAATTCCTGATCACATCTTATCACCCTTGTCTTATGCTTTGGTTTGCCACCACGCTATAGATCAAAGGTACACATGTCAAGCATATCTGGAAGGGTTGTGCCACTTGTTCAGCAAGGGCACCGTAAACATCTTCCAAACGCTTTGGCTGCCGTACTTCCGCGAGCACTCGTCGAAGAAGCCATAGATCTGTGTGATCTGCCGGCTCTCGTGGTTTCCCCGCAAAATGGTGATCCTCTCCCTGTACCGGACCTTGAAGCTAAGCAGCAGTGATACGCCTCACAGCGCGGGCCATGGGCACGTGTGGCCAAAAATATCATGAGACTGGTGGGCCCATGACTTTGGTTTTGGAGGTGGCTGAAACTATAAGCCGATCATCCCAATCCACCTCAACAAACTTTTGCTCCGAAATCCCCACCCCCAAACAAAAACACATGGCTCAACATTTGTCGTTCCAACTAACCTGCCACTCGTTTGGCAAGTGGGGTCGCTTGGAATTCCTTGGGTAGAACTGCGTGGCCATTGTACACATGGCACAAGAAGCAATGGCTCAAAAAGCACCTTACTTCCTGAGTGGACTGGCTCAAACAAGTGTGAACTTTTCGTTTGCCACTAAAATGGCACTCCCTTCGAGCCTTGCTCAATGCGACCCAAATTCCTTAAGGTTTAATTTCAACCCCCTATCGCTGAGCCGCACTCCACCGAGAAGTAGCCCCGGTCCACGTAGTCCCCGAGGAAAAGGTAGTTGGTATCCGGCAGAAAGCCCCCGATGCGGAAGAGCTCCATGAGGTCGTGGAATTGACCATGGATGTCCCCCGAGATTGTCACAGGACATCTCACTGGCTGAACATTGCTCTCCTGAGAGAGCAGTGATAGCAGTGGGGGGAAGCAGAGACACCTTGCCATCCGGGGCATTTGCTTTAACAAAGAAATGTCGTTGTCTGCTCTGCCCTTTGACCATTCGAATCGAAGGGAACTTGAAATCTGACCGACAGAAAGAAGTATAATCATCTCCAGAATGGCAGGGCCGCTCGCCCAGTGATATTAGACCACATCACTCGCACCAAGTTTATACGGAAATCAAAGAGACACATTACTGTTTGAAAGGCACGCTACTCTCTGAGAGTGATGCTTCAATTGCATGGCGTTCCAAGCTCGCCAAACAAGTCAAGCACGCCACGGAAAGTCGAACGTGGAACTGTTCTGAGGGACTGGGAGGATTGAAGGCCGAAGAGATAGCCCTACCATAAGGACCAAGTCTTCATTTTGGCGGCATGGAAATTAGTACCATGCTTGGGCCCAAATTTTACCCTTAAAGGGTCGCCCAAACATGCGGCTCCCTCCGGCCCCTCCTCATGGAGGATGGCCTTCGCCAGTTCACAAAGCTGCCGCACCTCATTCTCGCTGAGGTGCTTGCCTTGAAATCGGGCCACCGGGTGTCCCGCATAGAAACATGTTAGCTTGAACAGGCGGAGCGCCGTGTTCTTGCAAAGGAAAAGGTGTTAACATGCGAAACAATCCTTCAGCTAGAAAAAAGCGTGGGCGCCACTAACGCTTGAGGAACCGCCTCACACCTCTGGTTGCATTGGACATGACATGAAGTCCTCAAGCAACTCAAAGATCAGAAGGCGTGGCACATCAGCTCATGGGCTTTGAAGCCAAACCTCCCTTTGTCTGGTAGGTCAGTTTGCCCTCGACCACACCATTTTGCAAATGAGTGGATTGGATGCATGGGGGGATTTTGGTTACTGGCGTGAATCACCATCAACAGAACGATTCAAAGGCAACAAAGGAGCTCAAACACGCGTCTTTATCTGCTTCTTTTGCTTCCTCTTTCTCTTCTTCCGCTTCTTCTGCTTCGTATGCTCTTCCTCCTCCTGCTGCTGCGCCGGGGACTTGTGCACATCAAACAATTCTAGGGGTGAATTCCCCATTCTTTTCAACCATTGTTGTTTTTTTTCTTTTTCTTTTTTCTCCTCAAAAACCAGCCGTGTTCCAAGGTATCCAATGGTTTTCAAGAAAGAATGATCCCTGGAAATAATGGGGAACATACCCGTAGAGCAATCAAACATTTCTGTTCAAGTTCCCAAGCTTGCCCCAACCCAGAACGGCAAACATGCGAGATGCCAATGTTTGGCGACTTCGCCCTGGAACATAGAGCTTCCGCTTCGACCGTCGTCCATTTTCCTTCATTTTCCCAAACGCATAGTCTACTCAAAAAGCATCCAGCCCCCAGTTCCTGAATAAAGTCCTCCAACACAAGGGCCGGTCGTGCTGGCCACAAGATGCCACAAGTGCTGGCCATGTTGCAGTCCATGAGCTGCGTGATGCATCTGTCCACATCGAGACTCCGCGGGGCCGCGGTGCGATCGGCCATTGGCCGATGCCGGGCCGACGCGCATTGACAAATGCGCTCCAATCTATCGCTGGAGCAGGCAAGCGGAATCGAGGATGTCACGGGGCAACCCCGAGTAGCAGTGAACCAACTACATCCAACTCACAAAACCTGCAACGTGCAGTTAGTGACAGAGTTTGCAACTTGCTCCTGCCACCAACCACGCCGCTTTACCACCCCTCAAGTGCTCAAGTCGATGATCACATGCCTCCGCAAACAGCGGCACAACTACGCACGAGAACCAAGACCAAGAGCAAGCAGAACCCCAACATGGAGATGCTCCCTGTGCTCATGCTCCTTCAGCTTGTGACCGAGTGCAAGTTGGGATGGCCTTGAATTCCACCCAACCCTGACTCCAAATGTCCCTATGACCTCCGGCAAAGGCCGCTGGACAACGCCGCCTTCAAGGAATTCGTGGTTCGCTTGGGCACGCTTTGCAAAACCGGCAAATGGTGCGTCTCTCGTTGTGGTCATGCTGAAACTGTGCGTTGCAAAGTAGAGTTGTCCAGTGGCCATGAGTTGGCAGCCCTTTGCATGGGATCCCAACTTTTGATGCACAGCAAGCGGAGAGCCGAAAATGAGTACTGAATTAGGGGCAACGGCAAGTTGTCGTACCGCTCAACACCTTCCCTCAACTTTCGCCAACAAAACAAGACATGTTTCAACTCTGATCAATCCCAAGTTCACTGGTAACATCAATGCACCAAGACACTGCGGATGGCCGAAATCCTGCACCACCTAAGAAACCCTGAAAGACCATGGCCTGTTGATGTTCACAGGGAATCTAATCATAGCCTGGGTTTCGTAGGCGACGCGGATTCTGGATTTCGCAACCATCTACAGTATTTAGTCTACCCGCCTTCCATTTGGTTAAGACCCCTGGAACAAATACAAATATGCCCAGTAGTGATAAAATCCTTTTACAACCAACAAGGGGGGAAAAAACGGGCACCAAAAAAACACATGCTTAAGCAAACGGAAGCCGCTACACAAACATCTTGGAGCCCGCACCTCATCTCCAGCTCCTGGACTTGAGCGCTCAGCCGCTGCGAGTGCCTCGCGGGCGATCCGACTTTTTTCTCCCAGATTGGCACAGCCATCGGCCTCCGGGTTGGTGTCAACTGGGCTGTCCGTTTTCTGCGAAAAGTGAAACACTTCTGGCAACAAATGGAAACCCAACCACTAAACTCTAACACATCTGAAAGCACGTGCTAGATCTTTCCAGCTGCTGAACCTTGGCTGCCAATTCCCTTGGCTGCATCACCTTTGATGCCAACCGTCTTTTCGCCCTGTCCTTCCCGACGCATAGCCGCTAGCTTTACAGCAGGCAGGTCGGAGCTATGACCAAGCTCCTGAAAGAAAGCTGGTTCTGGTTGATGGGTTCGTTGGCTGACTCGTTGGTAAGAACTAGTGGGCGACACCTCGAAATTTATGTCAAGGATACTTGACAATATTGAATGCTTCGCTCAAGCCCATCAGTGCCGTCAAAAACAACATCCTCAGGCCCCCGCCGGCTGCTCTCCTCACTGGCCACCTGCCCCCGTCCACTTTCCTCTTCAGCCACTGATACCGCTATTCATTGAATCAAGCATTTCCATGGTCACCTGGTCACCTGGCAGCAAGCGCAGCATGCTTCCTGCAAACACTACAGAAATCTGACCGCTCCAGCATGGAATCTAGCCTTTGTGTTAGAATTCCATTTGTCCAGCTCCCCGCAAACACACAAGTCTGGCAGCTATTCTTTGAATCAAGTACAAGAATTCCATTTGTCCAGCTCTCTGGCCGCAGCACGGAATCGGTCGCTCCTTGCGCTGCATCGTGAATCTCCCGACCACCGACCCGCCAAGTCCAAAGCTCCGCCTGTGCAGCTGCCAGCTCCTGCCGCAGCGACTGCTCCTCTTCGTCCTGGACCTGCTTCAGCCTCGGCGCCACGGCATCTGGAAATGGGACGCAGGGTGAGCTATTGATGCTTCAGCCAGGCCAGCAGCAACACAAGCCAGAGGTTGCTAACCAACATTAAGCACAAGCAGCCAGGCCACAAGCAACTTGCTCAATCCTTGCAATTGATTGGAGTGAGTCGTCAGATTCGCTGGGCTGGCAGTAATGAGGCAAACAGATTCACAAGCTTCCCAGACACAGTTTGTCCATCGTACATCAAGTATTGTGCGAGAAGGTCGCTGCCTACTTCCAGCACACAAACGAGTAGTGCTATGCCATCTGCAACTTGGTAGTTTATCCACGGTGTGCAATGTTGCTTCTTCAAAAATCCTGAGGAAAGAACACTGCTTTGCCCAATGGTCATACATAGACCCAGCCTTTGGCGGACAGAGATGGGGTAGAAATTATCAAACTGCAAGTGCCAAGGCCGTCTACCAGATTTAAGCAACACAGGCAGGATCTTCAAGCCTAATTCAAAGGCTCACTAGGCCAAATCTCCCGCAGCCTCTGTTCTTTTGCCCGCAGCTGGACTTTCACTGAGCTCGGCTGTGGATCTTCTGCCTGCAAGTCGCTCAGCTGCGCCTCCAAACACGACTTGGGTTGGGCTTGAATCGTGTGCAGACTTCCTTTTGACTTCAACCAAACGAGCTAGCCAAGAGTAGCCTCCCAAGCTCCCAGTTGCCTGGTGCGTACATGTCACCCGTGTTGAGCATTGGATTGCCCCAGCAGCATGCGGAAGTTCCCACCTACCACCGTGGAAACGGAGCAAACGCACACCCAGAGCGAAATAGTGTTCAAAAGGCTGTTCCAAAGCTATATATGGAAGTCATCGGTTCTCATCGGTTCTCTGGAGCCAAATTGCCAGATTAAATCCTCTGAAAGGCACCAGCCATGATTCCTGGGCAAGTTGTGGATTTGCTGGTGACAAGGTTTTTCAGGCTGCAAGAGTCACACAACTGAGTACCGAAGGCCTGACGTGTCCTTCGCGATGATGGCGAAAGATGCCTGGCCAAGCGAGTCGCGCAGCTGAAAAATGCACGGCACCTTGTCTTCCCTTCTATCGCTCAAAGAAGACGCGGTTGACAGGAATTGCACGAAATGCTCGCTGAGTGTCACAGTTAGGCATTCTTGAGGGGATCCGGGCATAGCAAAGATGGTGCGGAAACATTGCTAGCACATGTTTTCGTGCATCACCGACGATTTGCTTGGCTCCCTTAGACCCTGGCAAGTGGGAACGAGGCCTCTTCTGGGCATCGGCTGGAAAGCCACACTCAACTGACCTCGTGCCTACAAATATCGGCGTCATCTAAACTTGGGTCATATAGGAAATGGGCTCAATTTTGCTGGGTGCCCAACCCAGCCGCCCATCCCAACAGCAGCCCAAGACGGTCCAAGAGTCGACACTGAGTACTGCAAGAAGCACCAAGGCGAGGGCAACACCAAAATACACCAAGTTCAAACCATTAAAAGCAGTCAGACTCCAAGCTGCTGTGTGTTGTATTTGTACCCCAGGAATTTGCTGCCTTCGCCCTCGCCTTTGCTGTCTCGCCCCTACAAGTTTTGACCCGAATCTGGCCCCATAAATCATAGTTTTAGATGATGCTTCACACGCTTCACATTTAGTCTATCCCACACCTCTGCCACCGGAGCCTGCCTCGTCAGAAGGAGCCCACTGGACTCCTTTGATCACTGGTGCCGTTGGCATCGGAATGCCGCCCCGCTCCGGGCCGAGCTGTGCGAGGCTCATCCCCCAGTCACTGAGAACGCCTGGGATTGAGGCACCCCTGTTCCTGCAACACATATCCATTCTTGGCCCGTCCCCTCAAAAGGCCGCCAACCCTAACCAAGTCCTTTGGCTTGCCTATGCCGGGAAGCGGGTATGAAAAAACGGTTTTACACGGGGCTGAACGTCTGGAAACCTCATCAACCGATCCACAGGGCCTCCTGTCACCTCCACAGCTCAAGGGTTCAGGGGCACTGGCCACGCCATGGGAGGGATTTGGTTGAACACACCTTGGGATCCAGAGCTGCCAGCTTCACTGGCAAGGGCTGGGCGTAATAGTCACAGTCCCCATCGCTTTGTCGCACCAATTTTGGTTTGCTTCCTATGCCGCACCAGTCGCGCCACAGGAATACACGTCGTCACAAGCATTTGCACAAGTGAACAGTGAATACGAATAATTCGAATAGGTGGAAGGGGCCTGCGTTCATCTTGGACTTCCCGTCCCACTGCAAGCCCACCTAAGTACTGAGAGGGAAAGGCTGCCCGCTAGGCAGATTAACTAAGCAAACACAGAAGCAAACACATATTCCTGCCTTGACTTGAAGAATAAGCGCAGGTGATATCCCCAACAACATGCAGTGTCTCGCACCACCCCGCAGCCCTCGCAGAACCTCGTGGAACTATCGTGGAACCTTGCCTCAGGGCCACCCCGGACCACCTCCCAGAAGAACCCTCGCAGAACCCAGCCCAGACCACCCCGAGCTCCAGAGCCGGCATATGGCGAAACATAGGGGCTTGAACACGTAGTTTCCTATCGTCTTCTCTTTGGCCCCAACCAGGGCCCAATGGTGCAAGCGGCCCCCAAGTTGCAAGCGGATGCAATCGGGCGCCCGATGGTGCAAGCAGGACCCCCGGCGAACTGCCTTCCCACGAATCCAAGCCACCTCGCCGCCGGTTTTGCTTCACGCCGCATTAAAAAAAGCAAAGCTAAGCGTGACAATGCAATCGCGCCCTGATTAGGGCCCGGCGGCCCGATCGGGCCCAACAGTGCAAATGGGCCCCAACACTGCAAAACACTAATCCAAGCCACCGCGCCACCGGTTTTGCTTAGGATGCCGTTTTGTAATTTTATAAAGCAAAGCTAAGCGTGACAATGCAGATAGTGCAAGCGGGACCCCCCACAAAACTGCAAACAGCCAATCCAAGCCACCTCACCGCCGGTTTTGCTTAGGATGCCGCCTTGTAACTTTATAAAGCAAGGCTAAGCGCGACAATGCAATCGCCCGACGGCAAAATCGGGGCCAATCCAAGCCACCTCACCACCGGTTTTGCTTAGGATGCCGCCTTGTAACTTTTAAATTTTAAAGCAAGGCTAAGCGCGACAATGCAATCGCCGGCAAAATCGGGGCCTGCTTGGGCCCGACAGTGCAATTGGGCCCCGGCAAAGGGCCACCTCACCGCCGGTTTTGCTTAGGATGCCGCCTGTACCTTTATAAAGCACTGATCGGGGCTCAGCGGCACAATCAGGGCCCGATCGGGCCCGATCGGGGCCCGACGGTGCAATCAGGCCCCGACTGGCCCCAATCAAGCGGGCTCCCACCAACCGATAGCTTAACACCGGTTTTGCTTAGGACGCGGCCTTGCAGTCTTGGGTTCGGTGCAATCGGGGCCTGAGCTGGGCCGGACAACGCTGCTGTCCTCGTGGAACCCGTCTGAAACTTTGTGGAACCTTTTCTCCCGGTGCTCGTGTGGAACACTTGTGGAACCCATGTAGAGCCTTGTGGAATTGTGGAGCCTCGCCGGACCACCCAATAGCCCTCGCGAACCCTTGCAACCCAAAGCCCCCCAAGAAATACCAAGCAATGCCAACCACAAAGCCAAATCCTGTCGGGCCGCATTGTCTGAGCTCTGAGCAAGGCTGTACAATGAAAATGTGTGCAAAACCATTGGTTTTCGGTTTTGCTTAGTGTTCTGCTCAAAGTGATTTCCTCAGCCCTTCAATTTACGACAGCAAGCCGTCTGCCCAAGACCACCCCACAGAACCTTTGCAACCGTTGTGGACCCTGGACCACCACCTGCAGAACCTGGACCCTGTGGAAGTTTGGTGGAACCTTACCTCAAGGCCGCCCCGAACCACCCCGCAGCCCTTGCAGAACCTGGTGGAATCTTCGTTGAACGCTGTGGAAGTCTGGTGCAACCTTACCTCAAGGTCGCCCCGAACCACCCCGCAGCCCTTGCAGAACCTGGTGGAATCTTAGTTGAACGCTGTGGAAGTGCTGTCGTCATTGGTGATGTGATTTCAATGTGGCGGGCTGGCAGGCACGCGTTCAACGCAAGTGCAAAGACTGACAGGCTGAGCTTCCTTGCAATCTTGGTTGAACTTACCTCAACGAACCACCCCGCAACCTTGGAACCCTGGTGGAACCCTTGTGGAACCTTACCCCAGGCCCGCCCCAAACCACCTCAGCCTTCGCAGAATGTGATGGAACCCTGGTGCCTCGCGCGTGGAACCTTACCTCAGGGCTGCCCCAGCCCTCTGGTGGAACCCTCGTGGAAACTTACCTCAATCCCCGCCCCGGACCACCCCGTAGCCCTCGTGAAACCCTCATGGAACCTTACCGCAGGGCCGCCCCAAACCAGTGACCACCCCGGAGCCTTTCTGGGCTGAGACCCCAAAGCTCTCAGCTGGTCTGTTGAGATCGGCACCCTTGCTTGGTCATTGATATGAAAACAGCCGCGCCCCAAGGAAGCTGCGCCTTGGCAGCTTCAGGGCGGGCATGCTGACATGATCGGACAGCTCCTGGAAGCATTCAGTCGTGCTGAAACTGCTTCAGGCACTCAAGATCGATGCATATATATATATATATAAATATAAACACGCATGCGCATGCAGATTTCGATGCTCACTCTCAAGAGTGGACCTCCATCCCTCTGATTTGTCCAAGCACTTCATGAAGTTAAGATATCCCGTTGCGTGCTGCCAACTGAAAGCAGTATGCTCTATTCAATCAGCCAAGTTTACATGCGCAGGGGTGGATCACGTGATTTCTTGTGAGAGAGCCAAGGCGCTAAAAAAAAACTTTCTGAGGCACAAAAGCGAAACTCCAAAGCATGTTTCTGCAGCAATTTTAGGGTTTGTCTACTGCCCGCGCTGGCAATGCATACAACCTAGTTGGTGTTGCTCACCCGTCTTGCTCAAAAAGCCCATCAAGTTTGTGCTAAATGAATGGCGGCCAGCGTGCGACGCAAGAGATATGAGT